TGAATGTACCCTGGCCTCCTCCTATCCACCTCTGAAGCATCCTTTGTAGCCAGCAAAAAAAAAAAAAAACATCCGGAGAAATCCGTAGGGTGCGAAGATAGGAAGGTCTCTGCCAGCCACCCTGCCCTGCATTGGATGACCAGAAGCCCCTGGACCCAAAGGCTTCTGGTCATCCTATACAGAGGCACTCCCGCAGTTCCATCACGCAGAATAAATTTCAGGCAGAAAAGCAACTGCTGCATTGGTCCTAGAGTTAACAGTATCAACCAGAATGAAATTTTAAGAGTTAAACTGATGCATAGAGGGGAAGATTGCAAATGGAATACAAGCAAGGTACTGGAGCTATATCTGTAACAATAGCAAGGTGTCCTTTTAAAGCTGTTTTTCTTTTCATCTGTATAGCCCTCAAAAACATATGTGGCACTTTGTCTAAAATCAGCAACGAAATGCCCCTTTGCACTGTATTGTAATGTTTTCCAACTTGATGGTGATTAGAGAGCAAGCAGACTTGTAGAACCTGAAAGGACAGATTTTACGCTCACTCCTATATCTATTTGCCAGGAAATCAGCCCCATTAAACTAACTTCTGAGTTTCTGTGTCAGGAACAGAGCGACCATGGACGAATCTGCTCAAAAAGAGGCCCCACTGAACTCACTGGGATTTACTCCCAGGAAAGTGTCTATAAGGTTACAGCTTTGTATCTTCCTTAATTAGCTCACTTCGGTCTTGCTACATCCAACGGAAGACAATTGTATCTTTCCAGCTGTAACAAGAATCGGTTTTGTTTTGTTTTTTCTGACTAGTGGAAGACACAAGGTTATGTTAAAGTAACAACTTGTAACAGAAAAGTCTAGACTGATTAAAAGGAATCCAAGCGCTTGTGCCGCTCCGCCACGTGGGGCTGAGCAGAAGGAAGAAGCCAGCAGCACAGGCTGCTCCCCATTGACCGCAAAGATGTTCGCATACAAGGTCTCCAAGGGCGCTTTTTCACGACCGGCGTCTAGGGGCATTTCCAGATGTGGCCACTAGGGGTGCTGTGGCCTTAGGTTCTTCCTAAATGCTGACTGTGTTCTAATTGCATCTCAAAAAGCAAAACCAAAACCCCAAATAAAGAACAAAGAACTAAAATAGAGCATGGCAGTTTTCTGACATGAAATCTGGGTGAATCGATTGCAAAGACTACATATACACTGTGCCCCTATACCTTTATGTATTGAGTCACCAAAGTCAGAAAAAAATATTTATATACATAAAATATTTTATGTAGAGCAAAATATGTTACTATTCTTAGGGATAATTATGTAGAGTTTTCAACAAGGCAGCCCAGATAACCAAATATGTATCCGTTTCTAAATTATGCCCAAAGACTACCCATTCAAAATCAAATGCTTCATCAAATCCTCAACCACTGTTTTCAAAAGAGTCCATTGGGCCTTCCAATGTTGTAATATAGGTTTTTAGCTGTAAAAAAAAGGCAGTGGATCCATTTATGTTGAGATACATCCACAAATTAAAAAGAACTTTCCATCACAATGTTTATCTGTATTATTAGGTCTTCCCTAAATTCAAGTTTACCACTGCAACCCATTTCTAGGGATCCACAGGAATTCAATTTCTGTCCTCCCCATTTCCCTGAAGGGATATGTTCCCTGGCAAAGGGGAAGGGACAGATGCAACCGCCTAATTTCCCCTGGCTTCAGATTCCGTGGAATGCAGCCCTATCTGCTTGGCTGTGGAACTCTACCAAATAGCTGACAATATCACCACAAGCTTCAAGCATGTGGATACATTGGAATTAGTGCACACATTAAAAAAAATAACCCTGAAGTGCAGACCCCTGGAGTCTCCTTAGCACACACACCAACGTTTCAGGTGTCTAGGTTTTGTGGGCTCAGCACCATGACACTGACAGATGGACAGACAGACGCACATCCTCTTTTATTACATTACAGTCAATGCGATGCTATCATTAAAAATACAAGACACTCTGTGAAGGAGCACTGTATAAACGTGTGCACGCACGTAGGTGTGAAGATCCTTTAAGCCTGAGGTCCACTAACCATCATCCTGGATTAACACCAGACAGGGTGCCTGAGGAACCATAAAAATAAATTCACAGTAAACTGCAGTCTAGGCTGCATGCAGAGAGAACTAATAATCTGCAAATCCCACCCTTCTAATCCCTTCCACCACTAGCCTCTTCCAGCCAACTGAGTTAATTCATAGTTCACCCCACTCCCATTTAGCTTGGGGCATGTTGGCTGAGGCCCCTTCCAAAATCGACTCTGACAGATTCCTTCATCTTTTTCTATATTTATATCCTATTTCTCTGTAAACACAGAAACGGGGCTCAAGATTGAAAACACTGAGGTGCCATCTAAAAAGCCCAGAAACATAGAATTGGATAATCTGGGTAACTCTATAATACGAAGGAGCAGGAAAAGGAAATGGCAGGACAGGTCTCGGTAGAACAGACCACTCCTAAGGGTGCCAGAGAGAGTGGCTCTTCCACTGACAGATAATGAAGAAGAGTCCTGTGGATCTCCTGTCTTCATAAGAGCAATAAAATGGATGGTTTGGATGTATAATATGGAACACTATCCATAGACCAGACGTTTTCCAGTCCACAGCCAAAATTTTATTTCAGAGAAGTGCTTAGAGTCACAGCTTAGTGGTGGGCAGGGTCCAAAGCAAATGGGGAAAGGCCAAGATGCCAGCATGCTTTGCTTAAAGCTCCCCCTGCCCGGAAATCATGAGAAGCATCCAAGCCTTTTAGGACGCTGGGAGAAACTGTGCGCCTGCTGGGAAATGCACTTGGTGTTTGAGCACGAGGGGGCGTGGCCAGCTGGGCAACCAGGGAGGGCTGGCTCTTGCCCCCAAGCAGGCCAGATGTGACCCCTCCCTGCCCCCCAGTCCCATGTCTCACAGCCCTGCTGCAGACTTTGGGGCAAATCTTTCCAGTGTTACAAGACATTCGCCCATGAGCACTTGGACGCTACAGCCTCTCATCGTGTGGAGAATTCAGCTCGTGTTCAAGCAAGCAGGGTCCTTGTGGACACTGCCTCTCAGGGATATGCCAGGTGGGACCAGTGTGCCCAGCATGGCTCCAGCTCCATGTTCAGGCTGCGTGCACTTAGGGGATTGCATGGGAGGGACTCCACATGGAGTGCTCAGTGGTAGGGCATAGGCTTCTACCAACCTGGTCCTCTCCACATGTGCTGGACCGCAGCTCCTAGCATCCCCAGCCTGTGAAGAAAGAGGCCTTCTTCAAACCGACTCCCACCACCGCCTCCTTCAGCCAGCTCTATCTTGATGCACATGAGGATGTGTGTTGATTACAGACCATTCTGTTTCCCTCCCCACATCTGTGCAGGACCAGCACAAGGGAGAGCGAGGGTCGAATTCTCGCCCTGCTCACAGCATGACCTTGGGCCAATAGCCTGGCTTAATTTACCACATAGGGTTGTTGTGCGGGAGAGGCAGAAGCACTGGATATGTGGCCCTGAGCAATTTGAAGGAAGGGTAGGATGAAAGTGCTCCATTCGCCACATGCCGAGTGCAGCTCCATGTCCTCTGACCTGTGAGTAAGCCCAGTGACACCCAGTGGGACTTGTGCGTAAACAGGCACAGAACTGAGAGCTGCTGGGACAGGTTTGCGCAGCCCTAGCGTGTCAAGGGGTCTCCTTAGGGAAGGGCTGCAGCTCACAACCTCCACCCTGAATGCAGAAGGGCGGAAGAGCAGCCCTGCCGGATCAGGCCAAGGGTCCATCTAGTCCAGCTGTTCACACAGCAGCCCATGGGCAGACCCACAAGAAGGCATGTTTCCCAGCCATGGGTGTCCCTGGGCGTAGTGCCTCTGATACGGGGGTGGGGTGGGGGTGACACTGAGTCACCAGGACCCGTGGCCACGGATAGCCACTTCTCCGGGGAGTTGTCCGATCCCTTATTCAAGCCAGCCGGGTTGCTGGCAGTGAATTTCCACACGGAACGATGCGCTTCCCTTCATCCACCCAGGCTCGATCTATCTATCTAGCATCTTCAGGGAGGACTATAAAAACTTCAGCCTGAAACCCTGTTGCTGCCGGCTGTGCCAGTAATACCGGGCTAGATGGACCGGAGGCCCAGACTCCGTTTAAGGCAGTTTCTCCGGTTCCTAAGGTGGGCCCAGTTCCCATGCCTACTGTTGGCCCCAGTCCTGCCCCACTGCTCAGCTGCTCCGACGAACAGAGAGAGGCCGATGCGGTCTTCGGCATCATTAACCGTCCGGCGGCGCTGACAGGCACCGGGAAATGCGCGCGCGCGGAAAGCAACGGGGCTCACGCGTGCGAATCATGGTGGTGGGCTGATGCTGTACAAAAGGGGCCACGGTTCGGCTGGGCGACTTCCATCCTAGGCGGGGCCCGCTGCTCGCCGGCGGTCCAATCGCCTTGGATCGCGCGGGGTTTTCTCCCGGGGAAGCGTGCGCAGGATCCAGCTGCGCGGCCGGGAGGCGGCGCGGAGCGCTCCAGCGGTGGGAGCCGGCCTGGCCGGGCCTGCGAGGGCGCGTGGAGCGGGGGCTGCAGGGCCGCCGAGCAAGCCGGAGCGCTCGCCTCTCCCTCCGCCCTCTCCTTCCTCCCTCGTCCCCGGCGCCTCCTCCTCCTCCTCCTCATTGAGAGCCAGCCAAGCAGGCGCGCAGTCACATTGTCGCCGCGCGGACTCGGCCTGCGCCATTTCGGTCCGAGGAAGAGGGGTGGGGGGGAGTGAGCGAGAGAGAGAGGGAGGGAGAGGAGGGGGAGGGAGAGGAGGGAGGAGGCGGTGCGGCCGCCCCCGGCAGAGAGCGGGAGGAGCTGGCTGAGGAGGAGGAGGGCGGACCGCGCCAGCGCCCCTCTCCTCTGCGCCCTGCCGGCTCCGAGTGAGTGGCCGAGCTCGGAGCCGCGTCCACGCCCCGTTTCTCTCTCTCTCGCCCGCCGCCCGCCGCTCTCTCTCTCGCCTGCCCGCCCGCCCGCCCACCCCTGCCTCCCCGCGCCGGTGCCGCAGTGGCCGGGCCCTTCCTGCCCCCGCCCGTCAGGCCGTCGGAGGGTCGCGCGGAGGAGCAGCGTCCGCGGCGCGGAAAGAGTTTCGCAGCGCGCTTGGCTTCTGGAGGCGGCGAGGGGGCCATGGCGGCCACCGAGATAGCGCGCCAGGTGGTGAGTCCTGCGGGCCGGGGCTGGTGGGGCGGGCAAGGGAGGCGCGCCCCGGATTCGACCGGACCGGACCGGACCGGGCGGGTGGGCCTCCCGCAGAACCGGGCTCCACCCTCCGTGCCCAAACATGCTGCCGGCGCCGGGCGAGCTTTTGTGCGCGCCCTCCTGGGCGCGGAGAACGGCCGGCGCCGGGCGTGCTGCCGGCCAGCGAGGTGCGGGCGGGCGCGGAAGGGAAGAGGCGGCTGCCGTAATGGGGAGGACGAGCAGATGCTGGGCGGATGCCCGGATGGCTCCGTTAGGAGCGCGGGCGGCGTGGCGTTTCCCTTCCCTCTCGGATCCCCACGGCACCGAATGGAGATCTGAGCATTTGCGCGATGGTGGAGAGGCGGCGGCGGCGGCGGGGGGGGGGGGGGTTGGTAGGAAGGTGATGGGGTCAAATATGTGGATTCTGAAATTATTGCCATTATTATTGCAAAGAGGCGAGAGCCTGGGCGGCAGAGGCGAGGCTGTTGGGGTGACGCCGCGGAGGTGACTTTGTCTTGCCGGTTTGGAGCCGTGGGAGCGGGTTGGCTCCTTTCCCAGATGGATGGTGGCGAGGGGAGGTGGAAGGTGAGGGGATGCTCTGCTCCTCCCGCGGAGTGGTGGGTTTGTGGAGGCGCCTGGAGGGCTTGCTCGATTTGGGGCCGACTGGCAGTGAGGGGTGGACAGTCGCTATTTCCACCGGGTGGGGGGGGGTTGATAATGAGGTGAGATGCTGTCCCTGACGAAGGAAGGGGCTATTTTCAGGTGCCCGTCTTGAATGCTTTATACCCGGCCCAAGTTTGCCAAAGGGGAATGTCGAACGACGTTGTGGGCATCGTCTTGGGTTGCTCTGGCGTGTGAAGGTTTGCCCCGGGGACGACGACGACTTGGGCCAGATTCTAGGGCTAGACCTGGAGTCTGGGGGAACTTGGTAAAATGAGCCTGGATTCTGGTGTGTGTGCTTCCCCAGAAGGGTTGTTTCGACAGCCTTGCAGTTGCCGCGGGCCGCAGCGTTCACCTCCACAAAGTGCTTTTAGGTTCGATTGGAAATTCTGTCATGACTGGGCAGATTGATCTCCATTGTGCTGAATGTCTTCTCTGAGTGTGCCTGCACAGCCCTGCTCAGCGGATGCTCCCATATATTGACCGGCTCATCGGTGCATGCCTCGGTGCCGCGGCATCCTCCCTGCACGACAAAGAGGAGAATTTCCCAAGATCTGAGGCGTGGGAGCCATTGCCTCCGCTCCCGCTCTGTAAAGCCCGGAGCTCTCCTGCTCTGGGGTGTCCTGAGTTCTCTCTGCTGTGATTGCACAGGCAGTTGCTCCTTTGTGCTCCCAGGGTTCATTTCCAGCTTGCCGTTCCTTCTGACAAGGAAGGTGACTGCAGGAGTCCCTCGCTGAGCGGGCTGCTGTTTGGGGAACCACACCACTAGTTGACCATTAGAACAGGGAAAGTGCAGTATTGAATTTTATCGCATGTGTGTTTGCTTTCAGTGGAGAGTCTCACGGCATGAGATCAGCCGGTCATGATGGTATGGTGCTCTAGGGTTGGAACGAAGCTGATTTCTCCTGGTTCAAATATGAGGAGAGTTTGTTTGGACTGTAACTCTGGCAGAACATGGGGTCCAGCATAGCCAGTGAAAAAGGGTCGTGGGGAGTCATTGATCCAAAGGATTATCTCTGGCTGGGTTTGGGCAACATGGCAATCTACACCTGAGGGTTCAGAGTGCTTTGTTGCTGGACCATGGTTTCGTGGCTGGCACTGGAGGATCAGCTGGAAGCCAACACTCCTGCTTGCACGGGGCCATGCTGTCGTCCAGCCTTGGTAAGGAGCCATGTCAGAACCCACGCTTGTTGTAGGGCTCTAGGGCAGTTTTGCAGCCACCCCCACCTCACCAGGTTCAGAGGACACAGGAAGCCATTCAGCTAATTAAACAAATTGCATGGCTTGTGCCCGGCCATTGTAGCCACTGTAGCATCTTTTCCTGCTGATCTTCCAGAGTTGGCCATTGTCTTCCCTGAATCCAGCTAGGCTAATAAGCCATGGTTTGTGAACCACAAATAACCAACTAAGAGAAGCTGTGGTTTGTTGGTGGGTTGTGAACTGGGGCTGTTCACCAAGGTTTCTTATCTTGGCTGAGTTCAGTCAACTCAACAACCAACATTTCAACAACAGCCCATGCCTAATCTTTAAGTGTGGGTTATTGTGCTTTCTGACCCCCCCCTTCTCTTTTTGACTGGGTTCGCATAACACAAGAAGCCCCCCTGGTTTATAAGTTGGAGGGGTTGCAGTACTGTGGGACCCTCCAGCTTCTGAGCTCATCAGCTGCCTGGACAAGGCATGTGGGGTTCAGTAGCCACTCCCGGGGCTGCTGTGTCATCTGACTCTGGGCAATAGGATGAGCCCAGCAGTGACCCAGACCATTACAAGAAACGCTTGCTGCTCTAACTCAGTGGCTGCTAAGCAAGCGCCTCTGACAGGCGTCCTTACAGTGCCCAAGCAGCACTTGGGGGCGGCTGTCAGAAGCCTTCCTCCTGCCCTGCAGGGCCGCAGCAGCTCCTTCTGGCTACAGCCGTTCAGGATGGAGGCGGCCTCGATGCACTTGGCTGACTCATGGGTCAGCTGAGCCAACTGCAGCTGCCCCAGGCACTGGGCAGGGGAAGCTGAGCTTTGTTTTGCTCAGCCCGCCTTAGAAGGGGCTGGGCAGAGTGTGGCTCGGCTCCCATTCTGGCACGGTGACTGCCAGGGGGTGGCAGGGACAGACTGAGAAGAGGACGCGTTGCTCAGGCGTGGGGACGTCTCATCCTCCTGCTGCTTGGGTCATGCTGGGAGGTATGGGGCTTTTTCCGTCTAGATGTGCATAGGATCGCACCTTAAACATACCTGGGTTGGGAGAGTGAATTTCGCATCAAATCCCAGCTCAGCCACGGACAGCAAGTGGCTTGCTAGGCAATTCTGCTGCAGGGGTGTCTGCATGGGCTGCCCTCCAGGATCTGGAACCAGTACAGAGTATAGGGGCTTCCTGGTACAAGGAGATGCCCCCCTTTTAGCGTGCCATTCCTTTGCTGAGCTGGCTGCCTATTCGCTCCCTGGCTAGGCTTAAGGTTTCAGCACCAGTAAGCAACTTGGGGCCACCGTAGCTGAATGAGTGCCAAGTCCCTCTCCAATTTGCCTCATCACTGGGATTGTCGGAGGAGATGGCGCCTCTGTGTGGACCTATGGCCAGAGCGAAGTCAGCCCCGAGAAGCGCCTTCAGTGTGCTGGCCCCATTTCTGGGCACTCTTCAGATGTGCTGGATGGTGACTCCCAGCGTGTATCCACCAGCAGGCGGCTGGGTGGGATATGCTCGCAGTTGTAGTTCAACGCACATGGAGAACACCTGGCTGGAGAAAGCTGCATTATGTTGCTCACCTCGCAAAATTATACAGATAAACCGCAGAGACCTCATGTAGACGCTAAGCCTCTTAGCCGAAGTCAGGGATGCTGATATTGTAAAAAAGTTAAGAGGACTGTGGTTGGCAGCTGATCATTTGCACGATGGACTTGTGGGCGAAAGGCATTTCTTGATGGCAGAGCACATGCTCAGCATGGCGGTTCCATCATGTGGGTTCCGTTTGCAGTTACAAGATTTTAAGCAGAATGGCACAAGGGGAATTTTGTTATCAGCCAGTTGATGGAGACAGAATAAAGCTAATCATTCTCTTGCGTGTTTGGTCAGCGCCCAGTGGTAGCTCCCTGTTTTTGGGAGGGGGTAATAATATGGATAAACTTTGTGATGGAAAGTTATTTAATGTTTATGGACGGGGATATTCTTCTGAGCTACCTATCCATCATTTGGACCTTAACACAAGGTTGAAGCGAATGGATCTTTCATACCCTTTTGACAGTCAAAAGTCTAGCATTACAATATTAAGAGAACAAAGTGCTACCTTTGGTAACAGAATGGGTTGAAAAGTTGATGAAGCTTTTGATTTTTGAACAGGTGGCATTTAGGCATGATTTACAAATAGATAAATATATGTCTTTGTTAAAGTCTCTGTATCCCTAAGAATACTAATATATACATAAACTATATAGGGGTACATAGTGCATATATTTTCATTGTAATAAATTCATTCAAAATTCGTGTAAGAAAATTGCAACTCCTTATTTTATCTGATATCTCTATTTCTAGTTTTGTTTTCACTATGTTTTGTTTTTTGGAACTCGCAATAAAACTAATTAATTTAAAAATGGCTCTTCCTGGGAATGTGGAACACCAGTCAGCACAGGGACAGCTAAGTGAAGAGCAACTTAGCTATGTTCATCTCAGTTCCCGACTATGAAGGGTGCAATTCTGTGCCCGTCGAGGCAGAAACCAAGCCTGTTCCTTCCCGCTGTCTCCCCTCCACATCCTGGAACAAAGCTGTATCTGGGGCATCTGGGAGGATGGCAAAATGGTGCTCAGGCTGCAGCTCAAGGGCTGCTGCCTTCATCTGCAGTGGCAGCAAAGCACAAGGCTCCCGAGGAAGGGAGAAGAACGGCACGCTGCAGCTTTGCTGCTGAGAGGCTGTCGGAGGTTTTCTCCCCGGGGGAAATTTCGTGAAATGGTCCCTCCAGCTACTCTGCTCACAAACTGGGTGATACATTTGAGAGGCACCTTGCTCACAGTGCAAGAGGGCCTGGAACCCATCGGCCTTCCCAGCCGGGGACTCCTGCAGCGAGAAGTCCAGCTCAGAGCCCGGTGCCGAGAGGGCCCATACGTTGCTGGAAGTTGTAGGACATTTTTCTGTCTAAGCATCCAGAGGATTGTACCCTCAATCAATGCATTTTAGGAATTCATTTGTAAATCTTTAAAAAACCCTTAGGGAAATCACTTTAATCTGGGGAAAAGCAAAGCCCCCCTTGCAGTTTCTGTGCTCCATCCTTCGCATCCCATTTTGCGCTTGCTACGCTTCGTATTTCAATCAACAGGAAGTTGCCAAGAGTTGTAGTCCGACACA